ATCTATTAAACTATTTCTTTGTGAAATATGAAACAGCAAAAAAAAAATATTATTTTTTTATGAGTATTGATACAAGTTTTCAAAAACACATAGTTTCAACGAACTTTGAAAGCATATTTTTAAAAAACACTTTTCAATGAGAAATAAGTTTGCACTTACAGTATTTCTTTTATAAAAAATTTGCAAAATTGTTTTATATCCATTAAAAAACTCATTTTTTTTTCTGATTTTTCCATTTTTTTTTTGTTATTTATGACTAATAGTACATAGGACTGTTAAACTAGAAAAAGAAGATTTTTTGTCAAAATATTTTTAGGAAAAATTTTATTTATACCTCCTCTAATTAGACATAAATTCAAAGACACCCCCTATCCATTCTGAATATTCACTATACTTCCTTCTAGTTTACACTTTAAATCAAAGACACCCCTACACCGTAAAGTTTAACACTAACGATGAATAAAGGAACGTTTTGTCTTCAATTTTTTAAAAATGTCCAAACTACCCCTTCTTATATAAAAGTACTAAAATGACCTCAAAAACTTTTCCTATATATATACATATATATACCTCAGCCCCTTGGCTGGAAGTGTTGTAGCCGAAACAAGGTGAACGTGAGGTTGGTTGTGTGTTGCTCTCTATATTGATCACTGATCGTTCACTACAAAAGTTGATAAATATTTTTTGCCTTACAGATTTGTAAATATTTTGTATGCAATTTTTTTTTTAATTTTTTCATTCAGTTAATTTTTTAATTTTTAAATGCAGAAATTTTACATTTTTTCATGCAATTTTTTTTACTTAAATTTTTTTTCATGCAGATAGTTTTAAATTTTTTTATTTTGTTCAATCAATTTTTTTTTCAAGCAATTTTTTTTTTTTAGATGTTTTAATGTCAGTATATTGTGATGTATTATTGTAAGATTCATGTCTTCTTCAATTGTTGGTGGAGGTAGAGACACAGGGGAGGAGAAGTTTGACATAAGATATAGTTATAAACCATGTTTTTGTGAAAAAAAGTTGTGGTTAAGATAGTGGAATCTGATAAGCCTAGTAAGGAAGATTGTATTACAATTGTGAAAAAGGGTCATGCAAATTTTTTGTATGGTGTCATCCGATATCTATTGTACCGCTGATCGCCCAACCTGAAGGGTATGGAATGGGACATCACAACACAGGGACAAATGTTGAATTAAACAAGTTAGCTGCAAGAGTGAAGTCAATAGAGGACACCCTACAATGCATGAAGAAGATGATGACAGTTGTAATTGTGATTTTAGTGTTGCAACTTTTGGTTGGAATGAAGTAGTTGCAGACTTATATTTTTTGTTGTGCAAATCAAAAGTTGTTGTTGTGCTAGTATGGCTGGTTGTTCAAATATGATGCTTTTGTTTTATGTAATATGACTAGTTATTCTATGTAAGTTCTATGTAATATCACTGTTAAGCGTTGCAGTTCTATGAATGACTGGTTGCCTCTATTTCCATACATTTATAACAGTTACAACTATTATGTTGTGACATTTGCAAGTATTCTGCACAAAAATTTACAAGTTAAACCATATGTTTTACACAAAAGTCCTACTCTATTCCTGTGTTAAACCAACTATATTCAAGTATTTACACCAAGAACAAAAAACAATCAAAAAAGTCCTTCCTACTCTATCCCAGCAGTTTGTGTCTCCCCCATGCCCCTGCTCCTACCCTTGCTTTTCCTTCCTCTGCCTCGTCCTTTTCTTGTGTCCACTGCCTGTTCAATGTTCTAGTTTTCTTGTGGAAAGCTAGACTGTGTTGTTGTCCCTTCAATGTTATGGTTTTGTGGTGGTAAGGTAGGCTGTGCTGGTGTTCCTCTTCCCTTGCCCTTACTCTTCCTTCTTCTTCCTCTGCCTACACCAGTCCCTCCAATTGCAGATACCTAATAAGTATGGAAAAGTGAATTAGCAAATTGTGTATTTTGTAAATTAAGTAACTAAAAAATTAACGAATTACTACCTATTCATTTGTTAGTCCAATTCTAGATTCTGCTTGAGAAGCTGTCTGTTATGCCATCACAGGAGCTGTCTGATCTGCCCTCATAGGAGCTCTTTGACATGTCCTCTTATTATGACCAAACTCTTTGCAAATTTTACATTTCACACTTAAAGACTTCCTAGCAAAGCTAGTTTGTGATGCTGGCTCATTTGTCTCCCTCCCCTTGTTTTTTTTGGGTCTGCCTGGGAGTCTTCTCAGAGGGGGAGGAGATAGCATATCACCAACTGCATGTGGCCATTTTTTCTTATCCCATTATCCATTATTTCATACTACATTCCACATGCATGCACTACAGAACATGATCTTGACTCAATAATGATTTTGTTAAGTTTTTTTCTGACATTTTCTGTCACTAACCCTTCCCAACTATTGCCCCTCTCATGCCTCTGTTGAATCCTAGTCATAAATTTAGTCCTGACGTCATCCAACAAATTAATAATAGACTTTGACCTCAAAGATCCTACCCAACTATTGAAAGATTCACTTAAATTATTGGTTAGACGATCACTCTTAATTCTGGTATCAAATGCATGCCTAGACCAGCAACTATATGATAGCCTGAAATGATGAATATCCATAAACGGTTGACCAACCTCTAGCTGCACTGTCCCATCAGGTTGTATTTCAAACTCTCTCCTATATCTGTTCATGTCAAATGTCCTTGCAGTAGCTTTGTGTCTTGCTTGGTCCACATTATCATCTGACTCAGAGCTGAAATTAATATAATTATCATCCCTAGATGCATAGTCTGACAACCCATCATCATTGTTTAAATCTGTATCTACCCTAAACACTTCATCCATGGTATCATGCAGTTCTCCATACTCTTCATCTTCAGACCTAATTCCATATACATCATCAAATTCAAAATCAACATCATCATTATTTTCAGCTTCTTTATTTGCTTGATTCTCTACACTGGCCAGACTCTCCACATGCTTCACATTGCCTAGACTCTCCACATTGCAGTGATTCTCCAAATTGCTCATATGATCCAAACTATCCACATTCTCCACATTGTTTCTATTAACAACAATGTTTCCAATTTCTTGTGAAATAACATGTATGTTTATGTGTTTTCTATTATTGTGCCTATTAAACATCTCCATTACATCTTTGTCATTATCTAATAATATTCTGTCATTTGAACCAGACAATTCACAATATCTTTTGAACACTAAGGTCATTGCTGATGAACACAATATAAATACATTTGATAAGAGGTGCACATGACAATATTTATCTGGGTCAACGTTCTGTATCATGTACTGTTGCCCATCAAAGTGTATGAACAAGTCAATCAACTTAGCAGCCATTTCTACAACAATTTCAAACACAATAGCACATTTAAGAAATGAAGAAAATCATCTATGTAGCGTGTTTGAAACAAGAAGGATTTTTAGAAAATGTAAAAAATTGAAGCCCTAATTTCAACACTGTCATAAGCTCAAATATCTATGGATAATGTATTATAAAACCCTGAACTATGAGGATAAATAATGAACAAAACACTCAAATTCATAAAATAAATATAAACTCTAGATACGAAAAACGTAAAAAAAAATCCAAGTCTATCCAAACCCTTACTCAATATTTATGGAGGATGCATTAGAAAACCCTGAACTATGTTCAGTATGAGGATAAAAGATGAATAAAACCCCCAAATTCGTAAAATATAAACCCTAGATACAAAAAAAAAAAAAAAAATATGAACTATGTTCAAACCCTTACTCAACTATGTTTTCTGTCACTAACCTTGAAATATGTTTAGATGATAAAGATGAACAAAATCCCCCTAAATCCATAAAAGATGAACAAAACCCTAGATACAAAAATACGTAAAAAAAACAAAAAAAATTCGATACATACCACAGAATCTTCGATAGTAACTCTTCAAATCATTCGATGTTTGGAATCGCAAAGATTTTCCAAACCTTCAGCAATTTTCTTCCTCGTTTCTTCCCCCCTCTTTCTCTCGTTTTTCTCTCTCTGTTCGTGCATCAGATCAGACCATTAACCATGGAATGCACAGAGACACTTGGGCTGGGTTAGGTTTAATAAATAGATGGGGTTAACTAAACATAACCATAGTTAGTAGTATATATTAAATACGTATACATACATATTACATATAAAATATTGAGGGTTATTTTTATAAATTAACCCTAGCCATTAACGCCGTTATCAGACAATGCTTGACAACGGGTGGCAGTGAAGATTCAGAATGGGTAGGGGGATCTTTGAATTTATGCCTAACTAGAGGGGTTGTGAATGAAATTTTCCCATATTTTTATTTGAATAGTCAACAATTCAAAATTTATACTTAAATAGTTATAAAAGTCTCTCTCTCTCTCTCAAATGAAATGATACTCTAAATTCTATTAAATTGTATTAATTCCATCATGCTGGAGGGTGGGTAGTAAAAACCCTCCATACTATTTGCTTTAGTAAAGTTTCAGATGTCTCTCTTGCTCTCTCCATTAACTGCTTTTTAATATCTTAGAGATTTTTGTTGAATAGTTTCAGATATCTCTCTTGCTCTCTCCTTTAGTTGCTTTTTAATATCTAAGAGATTTTTGTTGAAATTTTAAGATTATTTAATATTTTAGGATTAAATTTTATAAACATTTAGCTTAAAATTTGGGTTTCATTACGATTTGAATCCTCATAAATTTTTGTGACAAGTCTGAGGATAAGTGGTTGGCTTACTGACAATCGTAATCCATTAAGTCACAAATTCAAATATTACCATCCCAACTCCCATAAAAGTTTAAGATGATCGTGTGCCATGAAAGATCTTAACTCTTGTAGTATCTTGAGATAAGTAGTCAAAATTGAACGGTTTTTTTTTTCTTTTCTGCGTCGTGATGTGAATGAAATGAATCACCAAAAAAAAAAATGCAATTTCACCAACCAACACTAATTTATTTATGCATGAGATTTGTTCTTACTAGTTTATAAGTATTGCACATAAAATATGGATGATTGATTAGTTCACCACCCTACAGTTCTTCCTTATCTGCCCATCTTGACCAGTAAGGACTCCTACATTGCTCAGCTTCATCATTGAAAATCCAAAATCCTTCTGAAAAAGGAAGGGGAATCTGCTGTAGGTGATGACCATCGCAGCACTGCTGTTGTCCCCTATGAGAGCTTGGTCTGACTGGAGAAGTCCCGAATTGTTTACGAGGTTACTGAAGTAGATGTTGTCGAACTTGTTACTAGTAACCGCGTCCAGAGGAGCCAAATTGGTATCAGAGTCATCTTGGTTAGGGCAGACACCCCTCAAATCGCTTAGCATTGATGCATCGAGGTTTGGATCGGGATTACCCGATCCATCGAAGTTGAACAGCCTTTGCTTGAATGTGAAGCATTGAGCAAAGCCAATGGTGTGTGCGCCTACATAAAAACAAATAGAAGACTTAGGTCCTTGTTTGTTTGCGCTTTAAAAAAAAGTATTCAAGAATTATTCTTAAAAAGAGTTTTTAAAAAATGTGTTTTAGTGTTTTTTGTGTCACAAAATTTGTTTGATTATATGATTTTAAAAATTGTTTTACGGAATAAAAAATAATAAAACTTGTTTAAAAAGTAATCTTGAAAATAATGAAAATAAAAATGTGATGGTGATGGTGGTGGAAATGGACATGCACGTCGTGGTGGAAATGGATGTGGACGTGGTGTGGTTGTGTTGTATCAATAAATTAAGTCAGACTTTTAGATCCAAATAGTATTACTCTTTCTAATTAAACAATGCTATTAGGACCTAATTCGCTGACTTAATTCACTATGATCTTTAGATTAACTGTGGACCCTATCAAACATTGGAAATTAGTGTGATTTAACAAATTAAGTCAGATTTTTAGATCCAAATAGTATTAGTCTTTCTAAATTATGGAAATATTATTTAAAAAGTACACAAAACAGTTTTAACTTAAATCTATCTACTTTTTATTCTCAGTTTTCAAAAAATAAAAACAAAAAATTACTGGTCAAATAATTTTTCTCTTAGAAACTGTTTATAAAAATAGAAAAATAGTTTTTCAGATATAAACCATATTTTATTTCTTCTAACAACTTCAACTTGCATCAAAACTTTCATTTTTTTTTTTGTAGGTTTAATAGCAAATGACGAGCAAATATCATGGAAAATACAGTTGTGTTACTTGAGAATGCCGATGCAATAAAATATACATAGGTGGAGATATGTACCTGAGAGCACAACTACATCTTTCAAATCGAGACCCTTGGAAGCAAATTTCGCAGTGATGTTTTCTAAAGGCTCAAAAGGTGATGGGATTTGTGCGTTAGCAGCGCTCTCACTTGCGGTCAGGCCGTCTCGGCGACCTAAGCTTAAAGGCCAATAAGGCCCTCCAGTCTAACACAAACACAAGGGACAACAACAACAACATAAACATATATAGATGCTAGAACATGGTGATAAAAAAGGTTAACATAGTCTGTTTTTGACACATAAATATGCAACATGGTCTTACACGATAGACTGCCTCTCTTACTGCAAGACTCAATATGTCTGTACAAGAAACTGTGGATGGGCAAGCTTTCTCCACATTAGCCTTTATCATGTCAATGACCTCAAAACCTCTGGCTGAATTTCGATTAGGGAGCGCGTTCTTCTCTCCTCTGAACGTGCTATTATCGTCGAGTAACAAAGATCCATCACATCTCTATGCAGCAAAAAACATTTAGAGAATCACCAAGCAGTTAGATTTTTCAGGCACAAAAAGTATGAAATGTTTGAATTACTGTAGTACTGCATCAATAGCAACGAATAGTATATTTGTCATTAGTATAATCTCTATACAGTCATCTTGATTAACTAAAGCTAACCATTGAGCCAATATGCAACTTCAGCACTCTTCAAAAAATGAGTTTGGGGATATTCGCTTTTATTTTCGTTACTAAACGGGGGCAGGTATGGAAACGTCTGAGAGAGCACTTCATGAAAGCATTGTATAGGATCTATAATCCCGTAAGAACAACCAAGATTTAATGAGAATTATCACATAACTTCTTGTCTTTGACATCAAAAAAGAAGGTTGCAATAGCGAAATAGACGTGAGAATTTGGTCCTAGCTAGTGGAACAAAAAAGACAGATCTATCATTATTCAATACGCAATCAAAGGACTTCCCCCCCCTCCTCCAAAGAAAAAAGGGAAGAATTCCCCTTGCTTTGTTTTTGCTCCGCTCAGGCACTGCTCTGGCATTACGTAAATATATATATTTATACACAAAGTAAGAAAGTGTACAAGACAATCTGATTACATCAACAATACAGTCATGGAAGTGCAGCCGCAAAAGAGAGGCAGCAATTCTAGTTTCATTGGCAATAGCTGACCAGACACCATATCTGACAATGTTCACCAGGTTAGGACAAGTGAGATCATAGAACTTATAATCAAGTTGACAATACACACAATGACCCAGAAACAAGAGGTAAAACAAAGGAATAGCAGAATAGGTTCGTTTATTCATATCTTTGAATGCCACAAGAACCATCAGAATTTTCTATGGGTTTTGGATCGAGAAGTAGTACAGACAGAAGCAATTTATAAATCAGAGCAAAGCTAAGAATGATGGATGCAACTTCTATTATAATTATGTATTTTGGAGAGTGGCAGAGCCACTAAAGATGTCCCTTTCTCTTGAGTTTGGTACAACTCCACAATTTTCTTCATGTGTAAAGAAACCAGTCAGACACAACACATACAAGTAGAAAATTCATGAGTGGAAGGATTAGGTATTCCTCTAGAAAAAGTACGAAAATAGTGGAGTGCATATTAGAGAATCAAGTAAGTTTGATTTGTTGAATGGATAATTAATATTGATATCATAAATTGGGTGGTAAGAATTCAAGATAGAAAATATAATAAAACAAAACACAAAGATATAACGTGGTCTAATACAATATACTCACTTTACACTATACATATTGAGGCCCTCTTTGATTTGTATCTCAAAAAATAGTATTCGAAAACTGTTTTTGGAAAGAGTTTTAAAAAATTATTTTAGTATTTTTTGTGTTATAGAACTTGTTTGATTATATGATTGTAAAAACAGTTTTACAGAATATAAAATAGTAAAACTTATTAGGACAACTCAGAAAGCAATGAAAATAGAAATATGGTAGTGATGGTGGTGGTGGTGCAAGTAGTGGTAGTTGGTGGTGATGTTTTTTAGATTTTGGAATTGTTATTTCCAAAAAAGCATAAAATAGTCATAATTTATTCTCTAAATCTATCTATTTTTTGTTCTCAGTTTTTAAAAAACAAAAACAAAAAAAGTTGGTCATACAATTTTTCTCCAAAAAATTATTTTTGAAAATAGAAAAACAATTTCTGAGATGTAAAACAAACTGGGCCTTAATTTCTAACTTCTTTCCTATTCAATTTGAATTTTCACATTAATTACCTAACGGACAACTCTTCACCACAATTAGAAAATTTTGGTCAAATTACAACAAAGTCGGACTAGAATTTGCAAGTGCTGAAAAATTCGGTTGCAAAGGGATATTATCATTGATGTCTGGCCTATTAGATATTGAAAACAATAATAACTTTTCATCAACAATTGTATTTATAGGCCACAAAGTGAGATCTTTTTTTTGGAAGTCAACTATGTCAGTGGAATGTTGTTGTACAGTTAACTTGTTGGAACTAGTGACATGTACACTGAAGACTTTGAGAGCACAACAGTACTCCATGCAAGTACAATAGTGGAGATAAAGCAAGCACAAACACCCAATGGGAGTGAGAAAGAGGTGGTTGTCGGCAACATAGCCCCCAATAGATTAATCTTACAAGCTAATCCTTATGCATACACCAAAATTTATACCAAATTAACTACAACTAATGTCTCATCAATGATCTAGCAGTTGAAAATAATTTAATGCACATTTTTTGTGCCTATAGCACTGCTCGTCTCATAAAGCAGCAACTTGCTAGCATAGAGTTAGCCATTTCCCAAACTTGATCCCCATAGTAGCATCTCTAGACTGCAAATAGGGACCAATTTGAAGAAATTGAGACACCATGACTACATTAAATAAATAAATAATACAAAAAAATTAGTAGTGGGTAGAGAGAAAGCTTACGACTAAAGAGAAAGTTGGGCTTGAGCTTTTCGAATGATAAAGGAAAAAAATATTTAGTTTTGTTGGAAAAATTTCAACGATTATTTACAATTCATACTGTGCGGGCTTGATCCTGCACGATATATATAAAATATTGGGAACAGATCTCTCCCCTGGTGAACTTTGGGTGAGCCGATTGAGTGGCCAAGCACACTGCTCGAAACAGCTTACGATCCTGGGAAAGGAGGAACGATCCTGTACGTGCGAAAGGTATTTCCTGGGACGAAAGAGAACAAGTTAGAAGGGCGCCGGAGTGTTTTCCGGCGTATCCCCTCCGACGGTCTAGTCAGTCTTTGAATGAGAGAGAGGAAGGAGAAAACACTGAGAAGGATATTTTGTAGTAGAGAGTTTGTGATTGCATACCCGCTTTGTCTTTTGGGAGGGGTATTTATACCTTAGAAGATCATGATTGTTGTCAGTGTGGTCAATAGGTAATCATCAGGCACAGGTAGTGTGTGTAATCATTTGATGAGGAATGTCTTCTCTAATTGATTGCTCGGGGTCCCGAGCAATCAATGGTGAGTTGTCGGGACGCCGATGGTACAATATGCTCCTTTTGGGAAGGATGCAATAAATGCTCTGTAATAGGAGCATTTATTGCCTTTCATATCCGAACCTTACCGCATTAAATGCGGTCTCGTCAACAGAAGGGTGTAATTAATTGTTTGCTTTCCCAAGTCGCGTGTCAGCAGCGGCATGCGGTTTGTCTGCTTCGGATGTGACATCATTTGCCACGCGTCCATCCCTTATTGGCTGTTACGTCGGTATTCCAGCACGTTCTGACATTACTTGTGTAAGAAGAGGTCATGATGAATAACCCATACTGGCATAGGCTGATGTCCAGTATGTCAGTAGCTCTATCCGGGAGTAGAGGAAGCGTCCAGGATGGAGTGACCCTCGGCGCCGAGGAAAGGCTCACCTCGGGGACCAAGGGGTGGTGTGTTCCCGAGGTACATGGTGACCGAGGACACATGTCTTTGTATAATGTACCGAATATGTGATCCTATATGAGAGGTACCTCGGGGAGAGGACGCCTTGCCGATGGTGCTCGAACCCGAGCAACATTGTTCTAAAAACCCCGAGGACACGTGTCTTCATCGTAGGCTTTTCAGAAGAGTCCCATCAACTGCCCCCCAGCCTTCGATCTTCTGACATCGAGGACACGCGTTGTCAGGAGACGAAGGGTTTTTCCAACTGCCATCCGTCCTTCATTATGGCCTCGAGCAGCTTTCCCCGTCTTGGGATGTCGTGCGCATTAAATGCGCTGTTTTTGGTTCTCCCGCCCAATGATGACAGTTTCCCCCCTATATAAAGGGGGTTCTTCTCCGGTTTCTATCATTTTGCCATTCCGATCTCTGACCCAGAATACGCCTTTTCCGATCTGCTCGCCGGAGTTTTTTGTTTTCCTCAACCATCGTCGACAGCATCTTCTCTTAAAACCTCAGTCAGTAAAACCCATTGTTGACTCCTGATCCTTCCGGTGCGAGTTATTTTCAAAGTTTTTCCTGAAAAACTCCGTTTTCGACGTCTTCTGGTGAGTTTCACAACCTTCTTCTTTATCGTCCCCCTAGCCTTCTTGCTTTCCGATTGAACAGTGGTGTCATCCGGTCGGTACGTCTCGATTTAAACCCTCGGGGAACTTCCTCGGGTTTTCAAGAGAGAACACCTTTTCCTCCCCTTTCTTTTTAGAGATGCCTCGTCGTCGCCCTGTTCCCGAGAATCCATCGGCTGGTCCCTCGGGGTCAGGGAAATACAAGGTGACGGGCGAGGCACAGATCGATAGGTTCAGGGCGAAGTATGGCATCCCTCCGAGCGTGGACGTAGTGGGTTTTAACCCTTTGTTGTACTCTCCTACCTTCGGGGCCACGGATGCCATGCCTTTCTATACCAAGGCCATCATAGAGGGTGGCATTAGGTTTCCTTTACCCCCCCTGCTTCTTCAGTTCCTGTCTCGCTTCCGTCTCTTCCCCGGGCAATGCTGCCTCAACGTCTTTCGGATAATTATGGGGGTCCTAGAGCTCAATAGGCGCCTCGGGGTGAATATTGGGCTCAATGACCTCCTTTTCTGTTACTCTCTCCTAAGAGTCATGCCCCACCAACATTTCTACCTCAAAGCCAGGGACCCCTCTATGTACCTTGTTACCCATCTTCCTGACTCGGACAAGGGGTACAAGGACGACATCTTGATCTTCAAGGGATGTTGGGAGAGGGGTGTTGGTCCCGAGTACAATGACCTATTTTGCCCTCGGGAATGGAGAACGACAAGTACGTCGGTTCCTTTGGGTATTTTTATTTGTTTCTTGGGACTTCTCGTGTTTATGACAATCTTTTTTGTTGTGCAGGTATTCCTTCTCGGGAAACAGCTCCACCCCCTCGGTCGCTGGTCAATTTTGGTGACTTAACAACGGTTTGGAGTTTCACGGGTGCCGACGGATTTGGCCGAGCTGCCCATAATTTGCTGCACTATACCCCCGGGTATAAGAAGTTCTCACAGCTCCCTCAACCTTTCGAGCCTTCACAGTGGTCAGAGCTCTTTGATCAGGCGGCGAGGTTAGAGGTCGAGCAGAACTTGGAGGAAGACCCGGATCGGGCTTCAGAGGGAGAGGTAGAAGGAGTTGCTGAGGTCGGGGTCAGAGAGGACGTTGCTCCTTCGGACGCCGAGGTGGGGACTTCGGGAGGCGACCTGTGGCCGGATTTTCAAATTCTCCAAACCTTGGACGCCGAAGACGCTCTCGAGGAAGCGATGTCCAACACCCCACGCATCAATTTGGGGTTTCTTAGGCAGAGGCAATCCCTCGCAGCCGGGAGAGGCCGAGGGGCGACCGGCGGTACTCCGGCAGGAACCAGTTCCGCCAATTCTTCGAGGGCTCCCGGTCAGGGTCAGGTGCGAGACCGGGATCCTCAGGTGGAAGAAGAGAGGAGGGTGAAGCATCGGCATGACGGCCTCAGCCGAGGACCCAGGGCATCTCCCGCTCAACCTCAAAGCGGGAGGGATCGTGGGTTACCGCCTGCTCCCCCACAACAGCAACAACAGCAGCAGCCCCGACAACAGCTACAGCTGCAGCAGCAACAACAGCAACAGCAACAGCAGACCCCCCCTCCCGTTCCGCCTCGGGGGGAGGCCGCGGAGTGGAATCCTCGAGCCACTGATCACATGAACAGAGTGATCAGGGTCGATGATTCTATCCTGTCGGATCCTCATGTCGCTAATGCAGTGAGTGAGACACTGCATTTCGAGGCCGACATGGAGGCTCATAGGGGGCGATCAACCAACGTGTTGTTCCGTTCCATGATCCAGAATTCCCTGGTGGTGAGTTTATTCCTGTTTTGATCCCTTCACTCTCGTTTCTACTTTTGCGATTAACACTT